TTGTAAGTCCAGGAGAACAGACCAGGTGAAGTCTAGTGCAGTGGAGGAAGAGCAGACCGAGGGATCAATGCAAGAGATCAAAATGGGTGGGAGTACCCATATTTAAAATATGGAGGGGATGAGAAGCGAGAAAAGCCTCCAACTGAATGACATGGGAGTCACAGTGAGACTTCCCCCAGAGGAAATGATGGGCATTAAAATCGCCAAGTAACAGAAGTGGTGGCGGTAATGACAAAACAAGAAAGGCAACATTCGGGAAGATAATGCCCGAGAAGGGGAAAGATACAAAGAACAGATTGTATGCCACTTATGCAAGTGGATATGGGCTGCAGTATAATGTAGCAAAGTATGAACAAATAGCTGATGGTATGGAATATCAGTGCATAGAAGGGCACTTTCATTAAAGGTCCCATCAGAAAAAGGATCCAAAGAATACAATAAATTATAGCCTGAGATGGGATAGACAACAGCAGAGTGTAATTTTTGTTCTTGTAAGCAAACACCAACAGGGGAAAACCAGGAAAGCAACATCTGTAGCTCACCTCGATTACCCCTGAGGACTTGGATATTCCACTGTAAATAGGCCATGACTGGCAATGAGAAAGATACCAGAAATCCACAGGTAAGGGTACCTATGGACTAGAGGGGTTAGAAAAGTCCAGAGGTGGCGGCAGTGGAAAACATTTAAGTAGCGAAGGAATGGAGTGCTGTGAAAAAGGAGTTGTGCAGATGGAGGAGAAGGAAGAGAAGGAACAGGAGGTGGATCAGTGTCCAATGATGGTGTAGTCTCTTCAATATTCATATTCATTCACATATTTTATTTGGACATGATACATAGTTGTACAATGAATTATAGTAGTTGGCTGAACATGCCAAAAGCCCCTTGTATGCAGAACATTACGGACAGGATTAAAATTAACTTAAAATTAAGAAGCAATGAAAGGTACAGTGTTAAAAATTACAGTAAACAATTTACAATATGAAGTACAATTGAGTATTTGAAACAATGAAATTTGAACATATTGATATTGAAGCATTGTAGTTGCACAAATTTGTCACATTACATTGTATAACAAAGGATGATCAATTTGCTATATGTTGTCTTGAATTTTTAAGATTTAAGTAATTGGGAGAATTATTGGTAATGTTAAATATTGAGTGTTGATTATTTAGTCCTGGGCGAATAAGTGGTTTTTTAGAAGAGTCCTAAATTGATTTTCAGGCCTGGTTACATTAGTATGTTCTGGTAATGAATTCCAGATTTTGGGGCCCTTTATGCGCATAGAGTTTTTACACAGTGTGATATGGACACAGGGTACATCAAAAAGAGATCTGTGTCTTGTGTTATGGCCATGTGCCCTGTTAAGGTTGGTGAGAAGTTTGAGTGGAGGGTTTATGCTTGCATGTATTGTTCTATGTATGTAGTAGGCACATGAATAAGTGGGGATATTCTTTATGGTGAGCAAGTTTAGACTTTTGAATAGAGGTGGAGTATGCTGTCGCGAGTGGGAATTTATCATTCTGATTGCAGCCTTTTGCTGGGTTATTATTGGCCTTAGGTGGTTTGTTGTTGACCCCCATGCACAAATTCCATATGTGAGATAAGGGTAGATGAGCGAGTGATACAGCGCAAGGAGAGCTGATTGTGGAGCATAGTACTGTATCTGTGATAGTATGCCTACTGTCTTAGAGATTTTCTTGGAAATTTGTTGTAGATGTGTTTGGAATTTGAGGCTACTGTCTAGGTGGATTCCTAGGAATTTTCCCTCTGTGAGTCTTGTGATAGGTGATCCATTTAATGTTATGTTAAGTGGAACATTTGCAGCTCTGGTTCCAAACTGAATGAAATAGGTTTTGTCAGTATTTAGGGTAAGTTTATTCATCATCATCCAGGTAGATATTTTCTGCAATTCAGCATTGATAGTGTTGGCGAGTATGGCTGGGTTTGGGTGTGAGAAGACGTATCTAGTGTCATCTGCAAATAATATAGTTTAAGTAGCTGTGATGCATTCAGTAGGTCATTGATGTAGATGAGAAATAGGAGTGGTCCTAGGACACCTCCCTGTGGGACTCCTACTGTGATTGGTTGTGTGGAAGAGTTTCCACCATTTGCATACACGTATTGGCTTCTGTTACTAAGGTATGACTTTAGGTAGTTAAGGAAATGGCCCCTTATACCATAGTGTGTTAATTTAGTGTGCAGCAATTCATGGTCAACTGTAGCAAAAGCTTTACGTAAGTCAATGAAAATTCCCAGTGGGACTTCTTTCTTCTCGAGAGTGGTATATACTAACTCCAGCATGTGTATAAAAGCATCATTTGTGCTTTTATTATTCCTGAATCCAAACTGACAGGGATTTAGTATGTTGTATGAGATGAGGTAGGGATAGATCTGTCTATAAATTAATTTTTCAAAGAATTTAGTGAGTAGTGGTAAGTTAGAAATTGGTCTATAGTTATTCAAGTCAGCTTGATCACCTCTTTTGTGGATCGGGGTGACCCTTGCTATTTTGAGAACTGCTGGGAAAGTGGAGGTTTCAATGGATTTGTTAAGGAGTGTTGCAATAATTGGTGACAGTACTTATGAAGCTTTTTTGTACACAAAAGCAGGCAAGTTGTTTGTGTCTCCTGCCTTGTTCTTAAGGGTGTTCATGATGAGCGAGACCTCTGTTGGGGTGGTTGGAGCTGAGATAGCTTCAAGTGTTTTGTATTTCAAAGATGGTGTATGGGAGACAATATTGGAGATAGAAGGAGGAGGGTTAGTAAAATTGGGACAGCAATGGACTGTACCAAAGCAGGGGGGGACAAAAGGGTGGAGAGAACTGGAGAAGAAGTGTGGGAGTGGGCAGAAGAGGAAGAAACTTGGGAGCTGACAGGGGAGGAAAGCGAGGGTGAACCTCCACTCTTGTAACAGAGCCAGTGAAAGGGGAAGAAGTGAGAACAGACTGAGGAGTTGAGGTAGAGACCTCTAAGTACAGGACAGCAAAAGAATTAGCAACAGGAGTGACTATAGATGGGGTAACTAGAAAGGAAGTTGCAGAAGATGGGGCCTCAGAGGTGGGGGGGATATTTAGAAACACGAGAATAAGAAAGACAGGGTAGTCTCCCTTGGAGTCATAGATAGGAAACTGCCATAGCATAGGGGAAACCTTCTGCCTCTTTGGGGCAATGGATTTCTCGCTCATTTTAAGTAGACTTGGCAACAGCAAGAGTAAGAAGGGCGAGTCTCATGACAATTAAGGCAAGAGGGAGGTCAACTACAAGACATATTAGAATGGTCATTGGCACCACAGACTGGGCATTCGGGTTTAGATTTGCAATATTTCACTGGGTGACCAAATCGCCAGCAATTTCTACACTGTTGCGGCATAAGGATCAGTTTTTGAACTTGTAAACAATGTCCCGCTACATAAACAGAGGATGGGAGCACATGGCAGTCGATAGTTAATCGAGCTACATTGCAAGGGTATCGTCTCCACCCATGGGCAGGAAGGCGTAAGTGTCTACTTTGAAGATTGGGAGATCTTGGAGTTCCAGCTGTTCAAGAATGTCATCACCACATGTCTGAAAATTCTGTTGGACTATGGTATGGGGCAGAATGACAGTACCACTACAAGAATTGAGGGAATGATGTTTTTCGATAGTGACAGGAATAGTATCAATATGTGAAAGAAGAGAAAGATAATGAGCTTGGGTAGCATTCTGGACAGTGATGATGTGTGTACCACTCTTGAGAGCATGAAAGGATATATCTCTAACAACATGGCATAGGAGCGCCTTGCCAATACTACAGTCAGAAAGATAATCAAGAGAGGAAGTCAGTCATAAAGAATTTAGTCCATTGTGCATTCCGAAATTGAGCGTGGAAAGGGAGTGCATGATGTGTCTGTCTTTTCTGAGTAGAACGAGAAGGCAGCGAAGAAGTATCATCAGGCAATTGTTGTTGGCGTTTAGGAGTGGGACTGGAGTTGGTCCGACGTGGGACGGGCTGGCGATTTGAAAATTGCCACACCATAGAGGGAGAGGCTGGAAGCATAGTCAAAGGAGACCGGAGGTCAGACAAATCAAAGGAGGCAGTCGAAACCCTGGTACCAGAAGTGGGTGATGAAACAGCACCAGCAAGAGGTACAGGGCATTAGAAGTGTCCAAAGTGTGGTCAAAAAACAAGGCAGGGTCAGAACAGGGTGCAGTATCAGGAAGGAGCTTGGGGGTAACAGGTTCACGGATTGGGTCCTCCATGGTTAGGTTACTTCTTTCTTTTTGTTTTTAAGAAAAAAAAGAAAGAAAATAAAATAAAAATAAAAAAAGAATAAAAAAGGGGGGAACAGGAAGGAATAGTTCCTAGGAGGAATGAAAGGGCCGGAAATCTTCCTTCACACCCAAGAGGACCTCAGCACTGCAAGCAGCGCAGATGTGGCATGGAACCCGTACCATACCCTACCCTTCAGGCCAGTAAACCAGCAATTCGGGATAGCAACCTCATATCTGCTGAGCTGCCTCGGTGGACAAGAGAGAGAGCGGCCGGATATCTGCCAGAAAACATACCTCCTTTGGCCACCACCCCTGGAATCTGAAAGGCAGCCTCTAGAGATACACCCATTGCCCAAAAAACACTCAAAGCCACCCCCTGGGAGACCAGAGAGGGATCAGGACATCCCCAGCCGATCCAGATTCCATGGCAAACTACTCCGCTGCAAAGAACCTCAACGGAATGGAATGGACCCCGGTACCCTTCCCCCTACCTAGGAACCAGCGTGCTTGTGGGAAGAATCCCAAAGGCCAAAAAGAGGAAGGGAATATGGGAGGAGTAGGGAGGAGGAGAGGGAAAAAGGGAGGATCGGGGAGGATGGGATAAAATAGGGGGATTGAGGGGTAATTAGGTTCGGTCTGAGAAAGGAGACCAGAAGGTCTAATTCCTCAGACCAAGAGTCTTTCCACTGTGCCAAAGAGCCCCCCTTGAAGAGGCCATATTAATAATGATAATAATAATAATCACTGAGTCTCATTAAATGTCATATATTACACTAATATACACATTTTCATTAACCCACCTATGATATTTTTCAAAATTATATAATAAACATGATACATAACATATGAAGATGATAAGTACACCCCACAGTAGAATAAATTAACATAAATATGAGATGTGGTAGCCAGACGACTGTATGACTGACAGCAAGATTAACATTTTCTCTAGTCCAACATCAGAGAAAATGTGTTACTGGGGGGTAACTGTAGAAAATTATTCCTTTCATGTGCCTTCACTCAAAGTGTCATTTCTTCTAAAACTGGTGTTACAATGAGAATGGGAGTGTTCTTCTTTATTCTACCATATTAACATAGAGATAATGCGCACACAATATAATTTCTACACAAACCAGATGTGCTCACCTGGTTTGTTTATTAAACTCGCATATGCCTGGTTTGATGCCTGGTTTGTTTACATAACTCCGCACCTGTCCTCTCTCATGTACTTATTGTCTCTCTCTCTCATTTATTCATTTTATCTTGTTTACTCATCTCTGATTCTACATTAAGACTACAAACATTTTAAGGTAAGTAATGAGTGAACTGTATATGCATTTTATCACTCAGGGATGCTTAAATGTCATAGAATATTGGTTGTGGGTGGGGTGGCCTGGTATGGTAGCCTGGCTGGCCTACCATACATACACTTCATTTCTTACAATACTACTCATTTCACCCTAGATTAAGACTACAGACTACAAATATTTCAAGGTAAGTAATGAGTGCACTATATGTGTATTTTACATTTTTATTGTTTTTAATGCCTAATTCTATTGCTAACTTAATACATATATGTTAGTGTATACTTGTTATCTAGTATTTATATGCATTTGTAAGTGAAAAAAAAAGTGTGTTCCACTTTACAGCAGTAGCCTGGAACCTAACCTGCCGTATAAGTGGGGCCCTACTATACATCTTCCATTCTATCACATGAGACCAAGAAAATGAGAATACAACCATAAATACCATACGAAAATACACCATAAAGTCACTGTTGTAAACCAAAAACTTTTTTCTTCTCATTATGCACTGCATTTTGTAGGATTTTGTTTATACTGTGTACACTGACCACTCAGACCCATTCTCTCATAGGTAGACCTACCAGCTTTCTCACACCAGTATTACAGGACCAACACTGCTTTGCAAGTCATAATATTATGGGACCGACAGTGAAAGGGTTAATATCAGTGTTGGTAGAGGAAGAAATATCAGCACATAACACATGACACCTCCTCTGGCAAAGCTTTCTCTTCAGTATGACTTCTCATGTGACTTTCTAAATGAAATCATTTAGAAAAGACTTTTATTCTGAGCACTGATATGACTTCTCTCCAGTATGAGTTTTCATGTGACTTATTAAATGTGATTTTCTAGAAAAGTCTTTAAGACATTCTGAACACTGATATGGCTTCTCTCCAGTATGAGATCTCATGTGTCTTTCTAAATCTTGTTTCCTAGAAAAGCCTTTCAGACATTCTGAACACTGATATGGCTTCTCTCCAGTATGAGTTCTCATGTGTGTTTCTAAATGGTGTTTCCTAGGAAAGTGTTTCAGACATTCTGAACACTGATATAGCTTCTCTCCAGTATGAGTTAACATGTGACTTAATAAATTAGATTTTTCAGAAAAGTCTTTCAGACATTCTGAACACTGATATGGCTTCTCTCCGGTATGAGTTCTCATGTGACTTACTAAGCTTGATTTTTGAGAAAAATCTTTCAGACACTCTGAACAATGATATGGTTTCTCTCCAGTATGAGTTCTCATGTGACTTACTAAATGTGATTTTCTAGCAAAGTCTTGCATACATTCTGAACACTGATATGGCTTCTCTCCAGTATGAGTTCTCATGTGTCTTTCTAAATCCTGTTTCGTAGAAAAGTCTTTCTGACATTCTGAACACTGATATGGCTTTTCTCTAGTATGAGTTCTTATGTGGCTTACTAAGCTTGATTTTTGAGAAAAGTCTTTCATACATTCTGAACACTGATATGGCTTCTCTCCAGTATGAGTTCTCATGTGAATGGCTAAATTATATTTTTCAGTAAAATCTTTTAGACACACTGAACACTGAAGTGTTTTTCTGCCTACGATAAACCTGGTCTGACATCCACACTGAAGTTGTTGTGAAGATTGTTTTAGTGATGAGTGTGAATGTTGATATAATTGGTCTCCTACATGAACAACTGTACACTGTGTTGTCTCATCACACTGTTTTTCAGGTATTTTAGACATAGTGAACAATAAATTCTCATTTTTAAATTGTTTAACCAGGGGAAATTTGAGAATATTTTGTTACAGAGAAAACTAATATTCTTGTATTATTCAACTATTTTAAGTATAGCAAGCACTAAACATGAAGGGGTAATAGTGTTTGAGGAATAGGAAGGATGATATTAGCAAATATTTAGATATTTATGATACATTAATGTGATGACACTTGTTGGCATTCAAAGTATTGTAGTACCAACACTGTTGTTACAGTGTTGTCACTGAATAAGCACCATATTAGTGTCTTCACTGTATTAAAACTAGTTATTGTCACTAATAAAACTAGTTATTGTCACTGTATTAACACTAATTAGTGCTGTCATTGTATTAACACTGTGGTTACTGTTGTCACCATATCTACATTACTGTAGAGTCAGAACTTACAAGAGTTCTCTGACAATCATGTTGGTACTACAAGTACAACCTTTTAGTACCAGGATGACCTTCAGTATTGACACTACAAGTGCCACCTTCTAGTACCAGGATGACCTGCAGTACTGACACTACAAGTGCCACCTTCTTGTACCAGAATGATCTGCAGTACTGACACTACATGTGGTCACTTTCTTGTACACAGGATAACCTGCAGTACTGACACTACAAGTGCCACTTTCTTGTACCAGGATGACCTGCAGTATTGACACTACAAGTGCCACTTTCTTGTACCATGATGACCTGCAGTATTGACACTATGAGTAACACCTTCTAGTGCCTGGATGACCTGCAGTACTGACACTACAAGTGCCACCTTCTTGTACCAGAATGACCTGCAGTATTGACACTACAAGTGCCAGCCTATGGTATCAGGACGACCTGCAAAAGAAAACTGAAAATGTATGACCTTCTATTACAACCAATAAATTATAATTAATTTATATAACATTAACAAGTGGGAAGTTGTCAAAGCTGCTCTTGCTGATGACACTGGCTCTTGGGAGATTCTGAAGGAAGTTTAAGATTGGTGGATGAATTGGTAGGGTGTGCAAAAGAAGAAATTAAGGTTTTAATACAGAAAGAGTAAGGTTTTTTGAGGTAACAAAAAGATTAGGTGATGAAAGGATGAATATCAGATTGAGGGAGAGAGTTGGAGGAGGTGAAAGTATTTCAGATAATTGGGAGTGGACGTTGCAGCGGATGGGTCTGAAAGATGGTGAAATCATAGAATTTAGAGGGAAAAAGTGAGTGGTGCACTTAAGTCCCGTGGAGGGCAAAGAACTTTTGTCCCTTGGGGCCAAAGAGGGAATGTAGAAGTATAGTTTTACCAAAAGTCTTTTAGGGTTGAAGCGTGGGTGATGAAATGTTCAGCGAGGAGAAGGCTGGACAGTGGAATGTCTGTCTGAGGGCAATGTTGGTGTGAATATAATTCAGGAATTCGTAGTTTGAAGTTAGGGGAGGTGCGGGTTACCAAAACTGTTGTCCGAGGGCGAGAAAGGTTGTTGAGGTGGTTCCCGACATGTAGAAGAATGGAGCGAAACGATTTACTTCAAAGTGTATCGTCTTGGGGGAAGGAAGGCGGGTAGGGTACGGCCTAGGAAGGGTTGAGGGGGGGTAAAGGAGGTTTGTGTGGAGGCTTTTGGACTTCCAGCAGGGTGCGTGAGCGTGTTTTAGGATTTAATGGAGGGGGCAAAAGGTTTTTAATACTTGAGTGCTGTGAGTGTGAGCAAAGTAACATTTATGAAGGGATTTAGGGAAAAAACCGGCGGGGCCCGGATTTGAGTCCTGGAAAAGGGGAAAAATTTACAGTGCCCCCATTTCCTGAAGGGGGGTTTTAAATTGTTGCAGTTTAAAAATGAAAGTGAAAAGCCCCCTTTTGGGCAAGCATTTGTTTGGATTTAAATTTGATGGTGAAATTTTTCTTTTTGGGCCACCCTGCCTTGGTGGGAATCCCCCCGTGTGATAAAAAAAAAAAAAATTATTATAATCTTTTTTAAACCCATACCCATCTTCATGGGGGTAAGGTAAACTAATAAAAAAGGGGAAACACTTTCCCCAAATAAACTGTCACCCAAGGGGAAGGATGATATTACATTTTAAATGCCCACCCAAACCCTGAAAATTTTCCCCAATCCCCTTCAGATTTGCGGGCCCACTGTACCCCCCAAACCACCAAAAAACCCGGAGAATGAGGCACTGTACTTCCCAAAACAACTCATCCTTCAGGGGAAGGCACGGGTATTTCCCCAAAAAAAAACTCACCGCCAGAGTGTAGGAAATGTATTCCCAAAACCCCCAAACTCATCCTTCAGGGGGAAGGCACTGTATTCCCCTACAACTCATCCGTCAGAGTGTGGGCACTGTATTCCCACCACCACAAAACCCTTTTAGAGTGCAGGCACTTTTACTTCCCCCCACCCACTTTATTCGGGGTGCAGGCACTGAAACCCCCCAAACCCCAACCACCCTTCAGAGTGCGGCACTGTACTTCCCCCCAACCAAACACACCCTTTCCCAGAGTGCGGGCCCTGTACTTCCCCCCAAATCACCAATCCCTTTCACAGTGCAGGCATTTTATTTCCCAACCACCAAACATCCTTCGAGTGAAGGCACTGTACTTTCCACCAAAAACTTTTTCCTTCGGGGAGTCGGGGCACTGTAAAATTCCCTTCACCATAAATTATTCGAGTGCAGGCACTGTACATCCCCCCACCATCATCATTCGGGTGCAGGCACTGTACTTCCCCCCACCCCCCACCCTTTCCCCAGGTGCAGGACTGTATTTTCCCAACCACCCCACACCCTTAGAGTGCATGAAATGTACTTCCCAACCACACCCCTTCAGAGTGCAGGCACTGTACTTCCCCCACCACACACATTCAGAGTGCAGGCACTATACTTAAACACCCCCAACACATCCTTCGAGGCAGGCCCTGTACTTCCCACTACCACCCCTCCTTCAGAGGGTAGGCACTTTTTACTTCCCCTACCACTACCTTCCCCCCCGGGGCCCGGCCCACTGACACCCCCAAAAAAACCACTCCTATTCAGAGGCCGGAAATTTGGTATTTCCCCAACCCCCACCCCATAATTCAAAGTGCGGGGCCCCTTTTACTTCCCAAAACCCCACCACCCCTCAGATTTCAGGCATTTAAAAATTTCCCCCAAAACCAAACTTTCCTTCAGAGTGCAGGCATTTTAATTTCCCCAAAAAAACACCCTTCAGATTTGCGGGGCCAACTTTTACTTTCCCACCTTCACACATCCTTCAGAGTGCGGGGCACTGTATTCCCCCCAACCACACATCCTCAAAAGTGCAGGCCTTTTACTTCCCCACCAAATTTTCCCCTTTAAAAGTGGAAACACTGTATTTCCCCACCCCCTTAATTTTCCAGAGTGCAGGGCACTAAATTTCCCCCCACCATCATCCTTCAGGGCACAGGCATTGTAAATCCCCCAACGTTTTTTCCTTCGATTTGCAGGCCTGTAAATCCCACCCCCTCTAATTAAGGGTGAGGCACTGTATTCCCACCACCACTTTTCATCGGGGAAAGGGGGGCAGGGCACTGTATTTCCCACCCCCAACCCATCCTTCAGTTGGGCGGGCACGTATTTCCCACCCCCAACTTTTCCCTTCAGAGTGCGGACTGTATCCCCCCAAACCACTTTATCCTTCAGGTGAGGCCCGTATTCCCCCCACCAACATCCTTAAAGATTTGCGGCATTTTCCTTTTCCCCACTTACCACTATCCTTAACAGTGTAGGCACTGTAATTCCCACCCCCACATTTCCCTTCAGGGGTGCAGGCATGTACCCCACCAACCCCTTCATCTTCAGGGGCGGCATGTAAATCACACCCCAAAATCCTTCAGAGTGCAGGCCCTGTACTTCCACCACCACACTCCTTCAGAGTGCCGGGCCCAATTTTTTTCCCCCCCAAAACCCCACCCCTTAAAGGTCCCGGAAACTGTCCCTTCCCACCCCATCAACCTTCAGAGTGCAGGCCTGTACTTCCCCCCCACCCCCAACCTTCAAAAGGGCAGGCACTGTACTTCCCACAAAAATTTCCTTCAGATCCCAGGACGTACTTCCCCCACCCCCCCACTTTCCTTCGATTTGGGGCACTGAAATTCCCACCACACATACTTCAGAGTGCAGGAATGTACACCCCCCAAACACTCAAAATTCAGAGGGCGGGGAAACGGACATCCCACCAAACACATCCTTCAGAGGGGCAGGCATGTACTTCCCACCCATTTCATTTTCCCAAATTTCGGGCCCCTTTTATTTTCCCCACAACCCCCCTTTCCTTTAAAAGGGGAGGAAGGTATTTCCCCACCCCCAACCCCACCTTCAGAGTGAAAGGCACGTACTTTACCCCAAAACACACACCCTTCAGAGTGAAAGGGCACTTTTATTTCCCCACCACCCAACACCCTTTCAGAGTGAAAGGAAATGTACTTCCCACCCCCACAATTTAAAAGTGCAGGCACTGTATTTTCCCCACCACCCCAAAAATCCTTCAGAGTGCGGGGGACTGTACTTCCCCCCCCCACACATCCTTCGGTTTGCAGGTGTTTTACTTCCCTCCCCCCTTTCCTTCAGAGTGCGGCATGTATTCCCAATCCCACACACCCTTAAGAGTGCAGGCACTTTTCCCTCCCACCACCACACTTTCTTCAGGTGCAGGCACTGTACTTCCCCCCACCACACATCCTTCAGAGTCAGGAAATGTCCACCCCAAACCAACCTCACCCTTTCAGAGGGGCAGGCCTGTTCATCCCCCAAACTTATTCAAAAGGAAAGGCACTGTACTTCCCCCACCATCTCAAAAGGAGTGAGGGCACTTTTATTCCCCCAAACCCAAACCCCCCTTCAGAGTGCGGGCCACTGTATTTCCCCATACCATAAACCCTTCAGAGGGGTAGGCACTGTACTTCCCACCCCCACTCATCCTTACAGTGTAGGCACTGTATTCCCCCCCACCCAAAATCCTTCGGGAGTGCGGGGCACTGTACATCCCCCAAAACCACTCATCTTCAGAGTGCAGAAAAGGGAACACGCGGGAAAACCCTTTTGGGCCCTTTAGGCGGGGTCTTTTACAATTCCTCCCACAAACCCAAAACATTTCCCCAAAACCCCCTTTTTCAAGGCCCCCAAAGAAATAAGTCTGATTTTAAAAGGTCCACTAAAATAACCCCCCCCAAATAATGTACTTACCCAAACCCAAAATTTTGGGAAAACTACCCAAAGTCCCAGCCTAAATTTAACCCAACTAGGGGACTTTTCCCATCATCAAAAACCCATTTTCCCAAAAACCAATATTTTCCTATTTTCCTTTTCCAAATTTTAAAACTTTTTAAAAATTTTAAAATAAATTTTACTGGGGTTCTCTTTGGAAAAACATCTAAAGGGCCCATTTTAAATTACCCCCTTTATTAATCCCTGTTTTTCCATTTTTACACTTCGACCCAGGTCTCCCCCATTCTTCGTTAACAAAGTGAATGTAATTTTAAGAGTCTTCAATTTTTCTTAAAAGGGAAAGTTTTCTAATGCTTGTATTAATTTTTATCATCCCAGTAAAATTTTTTTAAACCCGAATTTATGTCC